AAAACAAAAAAAAAAAAAAAAAAAAAAAAAAAAAAAAACAAACGACATTAGAGGTGGACAGCAAGAATGAAGAGTAAAAAAAGATTCTGCTACTTTAGAAAAAGATTTTAAAAACCCCTCAATCTTCCCTAAAAGATCGTGCCCGAGACCTATTGTGTTATAAATTCCTAGATTTTAGCTATTTCCGTGCCCGTGAGAACATTTGTTCCTTCACCTTAGCTCTGCTTGACCCCTTGGGAATGTTGATGGGTTTGTTCAAAAAGCCCTGCACCAACGGGATATTACCTCTTACTGTACACGGCCGCGTGAGTGCTCCCAGCCTCGGGACACGTGAGAAGTGTAATGAGGAAAAATTCTGTACCTTCCCTGCAAAAGGTTTTTTTGCTGTTAGCACATGAGGGACAAGGACCAATCCAGCGTGTGTGTGTCTTTTGCTGTACAATTTGGCAGGTGCTGGACCACGATGTCTCAAAGGAAGAACCGGTTACCTTTCACTTCCTGGCCAAATTCTATCCGGAGAATGCCGAGGAGGAGCTGGTTCAGGAGAGCACACAACATTTATTCTTCCTGCAGGTACACTGTCCCACAGTACCCCACTTCTGAGAGAACCCTCAGAGGCGCAGTGGCAAAGGCAGCCTGGGTGAAGCCATTGGTGTTGACCACAAACGCTTCCACGTTGCAGAAATGTTTTGCCCCTGGGTAGTCTGTCCTTTGATCCTGTAATGGGAAAAAATCTTTAAGAACAGAACTGAACCTGCGTGATGAGAATCGGTGTCTCTTACTGGGTATGGTGGCGCACGCCTGTAATCCTAGCATTGAGAAGGCTGAGGCAGGAATAGTGCTGAGAATTCAAGGCCTGACTGGATGACATAGTGAGTTCAAGGCCAGCCTGAACTACAGAGCAAGAACCTGTCTCAAAAAAACAAAACAGCACAGCAGCAACAAAAGGAATTGGTGTCAGATGAAATTGCAAAGGTGTGATGACAAAGCCTGAATAGAAGCAGCAACCTAACCTTAAACCTCCTTGAGGATGAATTCTGTTTGCTTCTGGTTAACTTGAAAGCACTCTGTACTTGCAAAGGAAATCTAAACGGAGTCTTATACAACACTATTTCCAAAATTAAAAATCTCTCATTAAGATAGGACTTCAAGCCGGGCATGGTGGCACATGCCTGTAATCCCAGCACTTAGGAGGCTGAGGCAGGAGGATCACTGTGAGTTGGAGACCAGCCTGGGCTATGTAGTGACTTCCAGGTCAGTGTCAACTACATAGTGAGACCCTGTCTCCAAAAAAAAAAAAAAAAAGGTATGACTTCAAAATACTAGTGGCATTCCCATCCTCCACCCTGCTACTGGGGATTGGACCCAGAGCTCTGAGCATGCTAGGCAAATACTTTACCACTGAGCTACACGCCCAGCCCTTTTTATTTGAGACAGGGTCTCGCTAAGTTGCCCAGACTGTTCTTTATGCAATCTTCCTGCCTCATCCTGGGACTACAGCAAGTGCCACTCTGCCTGGCTTGCCAGTGATGCTTATTTGTCCTGTGCCTCTGGTGCTTCAGATGTCAGCTCCTTGCTACTCTTGTTCTGTCGTTGTCTTCTTTCTCCCATTCCCCCACCGGAGAATAAACTCCATGACAGTTAAGGCTCTTTGAATGCGGTGGGCCTTCCAGAGTAATGGCTTGACAGACTGAAGAAATTGTGAGCTCCATAATTACAGGTTGACCATCTAGGATAGTGGTGGCGAACCTATGGCGTGCGTATTACTGGGGGTTTTATTTTTAAGACAGAAGATGTTAATGTAATTGAGTTGTTTTTTCTAAACTAAACCCGCACTCAGGTTTAACATCAGTGTTGGCACTTTGCAATAAATAAGTGGGTTTGGGTTGGTGTTTGGTACTCAGTCTATAAAAGGTTTGCCATCACTGATCCAGGAAAACAAGGAGAAGAACGGAAACATGGTCAGTTTTGCTTACTTATTTACTGCTTGGTCAGAGCACCTCTCCCATTTCATGGCCAGTTGTGGTGATTGGCACTGGGGCTGCTCATAGGCCCAGAGGTGCATCACTGTGAGTGATGTGAAAAATTGCAGTAGGGTCATTAATTATACAATTTCCCAGAAGAAGGTATGTAGTCTGTCGACAGAGCTCCATAATTAATTTCAACCTCAATATATCTTGCTCAGTAAATTTTTGGGGGGTTTTTTTGAGACAGGGTCTTACTATGCAGTTGAGACTGACCTGGAACTCACTATGTAGCCCAGGCTGGTCTCGAACTCACAGCGATCCTCCTGCCTCAGCCTCCCAAGTGCTGGGATTATAGGCATGCGCCACCATGCCCTGCTCATTGCTCAGTAAATATTAAGTGAAATACAATAAGACCCCCTTAAATAATTTCTTTTACAAAATAGACCTGACACAT